ATGGGGATAGTAGTAATGGTACCTACTTTAAGGGTTGTGAGGATTAAAGTAGAAATATAAAGTGCTTAGAACAATACCAGGCTCCAAGCAAATCCTATTGGCTATATCACTAGACTAGCGTACATGTTGAGTTTAGTGCTGCACGTTTTATAAAGTCATCCCTCAGCTAAAAAAAGTATTCCTTCATTCCATCAGATCTTTAATACTGACATCTCTTAAGACTGACAGTAAGAGTTGAAGAGTTACCTGCACCCAAGACGAAAAACCTTTTCTTCCATCTCTTCCAGACATTCTTACCGGATGGGGCCATAAATACCTAAGGAAAGGAGAAAGACCAGAGCTGCATCAATGCCACGAGTGGGTGGACCGTTGAATGCATTTTGCCACAAGGCTTGGTTCTCACAAACAGGGAAATGCACACGGCTTGGGAACAGAGCTCGGATTTTGAGCTCCATGGTTGAGTGCAAGGAACCAACTTCCACTTGCAGGAGGAACTGCGGCCCACTGTCAACTTGACTGATTCCAGGAAGCACCTTGGAAAAATGTTACATGCAACTTAATTTGTATATGTGCTAAAAGGTAGGAAACTCCTAAAAGATGTTGCACGAAGAAGAGAGGAACAAAAAAAAAAAAGTGCTAAATCTCAAGCTCTAACTCTTTCGCCTCCTGTCAAGTTCCATTCAGGAAAACCTTCGCTTGTTTTCTTTTGCTGTGATTCTGACAAACACGGGTGTATCAGGGAGGAAGTTCCAAGTCAACTAGGAAGTGCTCCCTACTCCCTTTTCCCTTTCCAGATGCTCTTCTGTTTATGGGAATTAATCTTTACCAGTAAAATGAAAATAAAAAGAAAGTGAAGACCACAGAGGCATAGCCAAAGCTGTTTGGAAGTTTTAAGACCAAATTTCACTAATGCATTCATGAGTTATCTGATCGTCTTGTAGATTGTTATGTGTCGAGCTGGCATTGATCTAGGGATGAGGCTGGTGGTTTCAGGAAGGAAGAAGAGGTCTGGCAATACTCAAATATACATCCAAACACTCGAGTTCTAAAACTGGCTTTACCTGCCCGTCAACAACCACAGGACACCTTCCAAGTCCTCATTTCACCTAGAATCAGACAGAATTTCCGCTTTGGAACGTAATGAAGAATGAGAGTAATTAAATTTTTTTACTGCTTGACAAATTCCAGGGCTCTTAGGAGTGGCTGGCAGCCAAAATCTACTCGCTCTTCAAGCCAGAACCCAGGAGTCATCTAGGTCTTCCTCATCATGTTCCTCAATTGTCAAGTGCTGTTGACTTGTCGCTCCCAGAAGTTGCTCAACTCTGCCCCGAACTTTCCCGTTTCCTACTTCCGCCTCCCGTTTCCTACTTCCGCTCCCCATTCTCTCATCTGCCTTCCCACTTTCGCTACTTCCCTCCCCATTTCCTTCCTCTGCCTTCCGTTTCCTACTTTCGGGATCCCAGTCCCCGCCCACATTTCTGCTTCTGGGGACAGCTATAGAGGAATCTTATTGCCTCGGCGACATGAGAGTGGCTTTTCATCCTATTCCGGCTGTGAGATGGAGTCTGCAGGCTACAAACCCTATCCTGTACTTTTCCCTGCTGAAGCTCTCTCAGTGGTCCCCTGTCCACACGGAATCGCCCAAACCTTGGCTAGTCAACTCCCACCTTCATAATTTGTCCACATCATGTCCAGCTAGTCTATGATTTGCTTGGTTGGTCTTATAAATTACGTTATAACTAACAAAGAATTACACCATTTCAAAGGAATTTATATTAGAGGGCTCGATGATACTCGTATACTAATTATGGTGACAAATTAAAATAATAAATATAGTCATTGTACCCTATGGTATCTCTCAGGGAAATTGGTTCCGGGACCTCCAGGATACCAAATCATAGATGCTCAGTCCCTGATATCGAATGGTGTCATTTTGCATACAACATATCACATCCTGCCAATTCATTAGAATCATCTGTAGATATATGATACTGAACTACAATGTTAATGCTAACTAAAAGTTGTAATACTGTTTTAATTTTGTCTTATTTTTATTATTGTATTGTATTTCTTAAAGTATTTTTGATCAAGGTTTTGTTGGAATTGCAGTGTGAAAGCTGCAACATGGGGGCCGGATCTGCCATTTAATGCCGTGTTCATCTGTATGTCACTAAACTTATCTCGTGTGCCATCTGTGGTATGATAGGTTGTAGGGACAAAGTCCCAGCATGTTGACCTGCGCATAAAACTCTTTGTTTTTCTGGCTTAGCTTGCTAGACTCAGCTTCTGCACCATTCGACTATTATCTGCTAATTCCTGACCACACAGAAAGCTCCAAGACTCTGGTAACTTTGTACAGCCCGTTCTCGTGTCGGAATGCTTCTTCCTGCTCTTATGACTAGAACTACAAGATAAGAAGGTTAGTCCTTTCTTGTCCCCAACTCTCCTAGCCCCTTCTCCCATCACTATGGAAGACTGAAATACTTGGACATACAACTAACAGCAGAATGCATTTTGTCTAAATTCTTTTTTCTTGCCTTTGCCATCATGTTTCGAGAATCAATCAGCTATTATTTTTACTGAACCCTGATCAGTAGCCATTGTCCAAGGTTCACACATATACGTTTTAGAAAAGAGTTATTTTATGGTAAATTCATTCATTCATTCAGTAAATACTTAGGTAGTCGGTTGGCGCTGGAAATACAAAGATGCACAAAACCAGACACGATTCCTACCCTCACGTCTAGTGCAAAGGCAGACGTCAACTATATGATTTCAGAAATGTGTTATTTTAATAATTAAAGTATTTAAAAAGAGGTATATAATGCTGTAAGAGCTTGAGACTTTGGTCTAGTCGGGTGATGGGCAAGGTATTCGTGAGGAAGTATTGACCGACTAAGATCTGAGGATGGAGAACATTTTTACGGTGTGAAGCACACAATGCCTGGTGACCGAGGACCATTTTTAACGTGACGCGGTTTTAAATGAAGGATCACAGCATCTAAATCCCAGACTCCTGACTGACATTGAAACAGAGTCATTTGGTAGAGATAGCAGGAATCGGAACTGTATAGACCTGGATTTCATTTTCACATCCATTGCTTTTTGGCTTTATGACCCGGGTGCAATTCAGTTAACTTTGCTGTGACAGAATTTCATGATTTTTAAATGGGGGTGATGATAATATCTGTGGGGCATTTCTTATGTGTGCGTGTGGTACATTCACTTTCCTTCTGCAGGTGGATCCTAATTTTCCGTGGGGACCGTCCCTCTTTTCCACTCTCAGCCCAAGTGGTTTGGGTGGAGCTCACTGCACCTCTGTTCATGTCCTTTGCCCATTTTTTGATAGGGTTGTTTGATTTTTCTTCTTGCTGATTTTCCTGAGTTCTAAATAAGTTCTAGTTATCAGCCTCTTATCAGATGTGTAGCATGAGAAAATTTTCTCCCATTCTGTGGGTTGTCTATTTGCTCTCTTGACAGTTTCTTTGGCTGTGCAGAAGCTTTTTAATTTGATCAGGTCCCATTTATTTATTTTTTGTTGTTGCTGTGATTGCCTTTGGGGTCTTCTTCATAAATTCTTTGGCTAGGCCAATATCTAGAAGAGCATTTCCAAATGCTTTCTTCTAGAATTCTAATAGTTTCACATCTTAGGTTTAAGCCTGTTACCCAGTGTGAGCTGATTTTTGTGAGAGGTGAAAGGTGTGGGTCCTGCTTTAGTCTTCTCCATGTGGCTGTCCAGTTTTCCCAGCACCATTTATGGAATAAGGATTCTTTCCCCTAGTTCTACAACTTGCTTTTTTCGGACACCTTATTATAGAGATTTTTCCATGTTTGTACATATATCTCTGGCTCTAATACCTATAAGACTTTTCCCTTTTTGATGGAATTCTGGACTTCCCTGATTTGGGCTATTATTAACAATGCTGCCAGGAACACCTGTGTATAGATAGATACAGATATAGACACAGATGTTGACGTTACTACATTAATAATACGTAAATAATACATTTACTTTCTTGAGGGTTTCTTAAAAATGCTTCCAGAAATAGTAATACACGTCCTTGAAAACTCCCCTCCCCCCCCTTTTTTTTGTTATTTGGGTTTTACATCAGGATTTTCCAGTTTGCAAAGGAGTTTGCCATTGCCTGCTTGTTAGTTTGCAGGCTCCATTAGAGCATTTAAACTATAATTCAATTTCCAAAAATTTAATTTGTAATGTGTTCTGACAGATGTCACAAAATGAGTCAATTTGTAACACACTGACTAAAGGTACTTACTGGGTTATTGACTAGTGTTTACAGTGCTACTCATTCTGAGACCTCACTATGAAACTTAGACTTAGGTCTAAACGACCTTGAAGGTTCCAACAACTCTATACTTCTAAGACTGCACCTTCTACAGATCTACTCAAGTCTTTGCTGTGTCACTAAGGCAAAATGCCCAGGCACCAAGAAGAGTGGAGTGGTCCCCTGTGGGTAATTCAAAATCAAACATACTAAAAAATAAAACAGAGGCAAAAAGTCCAACTAAATTCTGACTTTTCTCATAATGCCTCTCTCAGTGCTTTTAGAAAGACTAAGGTCTTTTAAGCCAATATTAATGTCCCCCCGGCCCTAATAGGACACGTGCTCCCCGCCCTCCCAAGCTCCCCCACCCCAGGGTCCTCCAGCCCTGGCAGGGGACTGGGAAAAGGTGGGAATCTACTCCCCTTCACCTATTTTATAAACTTCTGTATTGTTAGAATTAAAAAATGATGAGTGTGCATTGTTAAAATTTTAAAGTGATTTAAGAAAGCAGGAACTAACTCTTTGGGTGCTGGAATCGTTCTGTTTCCTCCTGTGAATGGTGGTCACGTGGAGATATATAAAACTCACTGAGCTACATGCTTGAGTTTTGTGCACTTTTTAAAGTCATCCCTCAGCTAAAAAAGTATTCCTTCATCCCATCAGATCTTTAATACTGACATCTCTTAAGACTGACAGTAAGAGTTGAAGAGTTACCTGCACCAAGACGAAAAACCTTTTCTTCCATCTCTTCCAGACATTCTTACCGATGGCCCATAAATACCTAAGGAAAAGGAGAAAGACCAGAGCTGCATCAATGCACGAGTGGGTGGACCGTTGAATGCATTTTGCCACAAGGCTTGGTTCTCACAAACAGGGAAATGCACACGGCTTGGGAACAGAGCTCGGATTTTGGAGCTCCATGGTTGAGTGCAAGGAACCAACTTCCACTTGCAGGAGGAACTGCGGCCCACTGTCAAACTTGACTGATTCCAGAAAGCACCTTGGAAAAATGTTACATTGCAACTTAATTTGTATATGTGCTAAAAGGTAGGGAAACTCCTAAAAGATGTTGCACAAGAGAGAGAGAGACAAAAAAAAAAAAGTGCTAAATCTCACAGCTCTAACTCTTTCGCCTCCTGTCAAGTTCCATTCAGGAAAACCTTCCCTTGTTTTCTTTTGCTGTGTGATTCTGACAAACACGGGTGTATTGCAGGGAGGAAGTTCCAAGTCAACGTAGGAAGTCCTCCCTACTCCCTTCTTCCCTTCCCAGATGCTCTTCTGTTGATGGAAATTAATCTTTACACAGTAAAATGAAATAAAAAGGAAAGTGAAGAACCACAGAGGCATAGCTCAAAGCTGTTTGGAGGTTTTAAGACCAATGTCACTAATGCATTCATGAGTTATCTGATCGGTCTTGTAGATTGTTATGTGTCGAGCTGGCATTGATCTAGGGAGTGAGGCTGGTGGTTTTCGGGAAGGAAGAAGAGGTCTGGCAATACTCAAATACATCCAAACACTCGAGTTCTAAAACTGGCTTTACCTGCCGTCAACAACCACAGGACACCTTCCAAGTCCTCATTTCACCTAGAATCAGACAGAATTTCCGTTTTGGAACGTAATGAAGAATGCAGCTAATTAAATTTTTTTACTGCTTGACAAATTCCAGGGGCTCTTAGGAGTGGCTGGCAGCCAAAATCTACTCAGCTCTTCAAGCCAGAAACCCAGGAGTCATCCTAGGTCCTTCCTCATCCTCGTTCCTCAATTGTCAAGTGCAGTTGACTTTTCGCCTCCCGGAAGTTGCTCAACTCTGCCCCGAGTTCCCACTTCCTACTTCCGCCTCCCCGTTTCCTACTTCCGCCTCCCCGTTTCCTACTTCTGCCTCCCCGTTTCCTACTTCCGCCTCCCCATTTCCTACTTCCGCCTCCCCATTTCCTACTTCCGCCTCCCCGTTTCCTACGTCTGCCTTCCCACTTCCTACTTCCGCCTCCCCATTTCCTACCTCTGCCTTCCCATTTCCTACTTCCGGGATCCCAGTCCCCGCCCACATTTCTGCTTCTATGGACAGCTCTAGAGGAACCTCTTCATTGGCCTCGGCGACATGAGAGTGACTTTCATCCTATTCCTGCTGTGAGATTGAGTCTGCCACCTACAAATCCTATCCTGCCTTTTCCCTGCTGAAGCTCTCTCAGTGGGTTCCCTGTCCACACGGAAGTGCCCCAAACCTTGGCTAGTCACATCCCACCTTCATAATTTGTCCCACATCTGTCCAGCTAGTCTATGATTTGCTTGGTGTTCTTTAAATTGACTTACTTAACAAGAATACACTCATTTCAAAAGGAAACTTTATATTAGAGGCTCGATATACTCGTTACATATTATGTAGAACAAATTAAAATACATAATAATTACATTGTACCTTGGTATCCTCAGGGAATTGGTTCCGGGACCTCCAGCGATACCAAAATCCATAGATGCTCAAGTCCCTGATATCGAATGGTGTCATTTTTGCATACAACATACTCACATCCTGCCATATACATTAAATCATCTGTAGATTACTTATAATATTGAATACAATGTTAATGCTACATAAATAGTTGTGATACTGTATTTTAAATTTTGTCTTATTTTTTATTGTTGTATTGTTATTTTTAAAAGTATTTTTGATCCAAGGTTTGTTGGATCTGCAGTTGTGAAAAGCTGCAGACATGGGGGGGCCGACTGCATTTAATCCGTGTTCATCTGTATGTCACTAAAACTATCTCGTGTGCCATCTGTGGTATGAATAGAGTTGTAGGGACAAAGTCCAGCATGTTGACCTGGCATAAAAACTCTTTGTTTTCTGCTTAGCTTGCTAGACTCAGCTTCTGCACATCGTATTATCTGTAATTCCTGACCACACCAGAAAGCTCCAGACCTCTGTAACTTTGTACAGCCTCTCCTGTCGGAATGCCTTCTTCCTGCTCCTTATGATAGAACTCATATTCTTCCTCAGTCTAAATTCCTACCTTGATGTCATCATTTCCCGGGCCTTATAGATAATTCTGCAGTTATGATTCTCCCACGGCTATAGTTTATTTGTTTTCATATTTACTGTTCCTATTGGGAGTGTGAGCTCCTCAAGGGAAGGAATCCTGGTCTTTATTTCTAAATTCCTATTATAGAAACATGCTCTTCTTCTGAATTCCTATCAGTTCCTCATATATGGTGAGTGGTCAATAGATATTTGTTACATTTCAACTGGGTTTGAGTGCCATGCTCTTGCGAGACCAGAGCAATCTTTATAAAGGTTTCTCACGAGATTTAAAAATTGCATTAAAAACATGCAATCCATTGCCAAGTGCTCTGAGCTTTCCTTCCAAAATATACCCTGTGTCCTTCCATCCCTGCCGCTACTCCCCACTCAAGCCACCATCATCCGTCCAAGGACCACACAGGAGCCTCCTAACTTGTCTGCTTTCATTCACTGTCACCTCTAAGCTACGTTCACTCTACATATCTAGAGCTGTCTCTCAAATGGGCAAATTGGATCACCAATACCAGTCTAAATAATCATCAGAAACTATGCAAGGGTGTTTAAGCAGGGGGCCGACACGATTGTATTTCTATTAATATTTAAGATGATACCACTGGCTGCGGAGTGGAGAATGCCCTGTTAAATAGAAGGGCAAGAGGGAAAGCTGAGAGATAAGTGAAGGGACGGCCACGGGGCCCCAGGCGAGAGAGGCGGTGGCCGGACTGAGCTGAGGCAGCCAGTGTGCGTGGACGGCTGGAAAGTTGATTAGCCTTGTGCTGCCCCTGAGGCCAACACGGTCCCCTGTGTTGTTAAATGGGTCACTTAGCTGTCCTGGCCAGTGCTTGAAATAATATATTAATATATCCATGGCAGAAATGGACATAAAAGGGAGGCTCAGGCAGGGCTAAAGAGGGAGAAAAGAAAGAATTATTGGCCCATAACAGTTAAGGGTATAGTCTTCCAAGTTTAGTTCTACCAGTTACCGCGAGATGCTGAGCAAGATACTTAACCTCTTGGTGCCCCGTAAAACAAGACAGAGATAGTCCCTCACTCACAGAATCGTTGCGAGCATCAAGTGAGATAAGACTTGTGAATATAAGCGTGAGCCACGGCAAGAAGCAGGTGCACAATAAATGTCAGTCTCACTAGAAAATGTCTCTATGTGCACAGGAAACTATATCATTGTCAGCACTAAATAACAACGAAATACGTGAAAGTAAAGGCTCCTATAGGGCTTTGTTCGCAGGAAGCGTAGATGACTTAAAAGATCAAATGAAGAAAGTGGGCCAAACATTTTGTGATTTTAGGAATGCCTGGAAAGGCTGAGCAGTCCCATACTTTTCTGGAATTATCTCTGGGAGGTACAGCCATGTCCACTTACCTCGCACCCACATAAAGAGATTTGAAACAATGAATACAGCTACAACACTTACCATGTGTATAATTTTAATAGATGACAATGTAAGTAGGCAAAGGAATCACTAGAAGCCCACAGAATTATAATAATTCATATTGAATCATTAACTTTTCCTTCATAATAAAAAAATATAGCTACCGTGTTTACCCGAAAATAAGCCCTACCCATAAAATAAGCCCTACCAGGTTGTCTAAGCATTTGTGCAATAGCATTTGTGTCTAAGCATTTGTGCAAAAATAGGTCTTATTTTTCTACCCCAAAAATAAGACCTAGTGATGGGCGTGGCTATGCAGAGCATCTGCACAACCCATGCATTTCATTGTGGAGCAGTAAAGAAGACGAGCAGCCCTTCTCATCTGCCCCATGAGAGCCCTATGGCTGGACATGAGAGATTGGGGCTTATTTTAAAGGAAATAGAGTCGCAAGAAATTCAGAATGGAATTCGGGGTTTGGAGAGTTATGATGATGATCCAGAAGAAGATGACTTCACTCTATTTGAATCAATGTAGATTGTTGCACCGTACTTAAAAAAAACAAAAAAAAAAACCACATCCCCTGAAAATAAGCCCTAGGGTTTCTTCTTGAGGAAAAATAAATTTAAGACTCTGTCTTATTTTCAGGGAAACCTGGTACTTCTAGTGTGGTTTTACTATTATAGTTTTCTGTGCTGTGCCAGTCACTTTAAGTAAATTGATTATACCCACCTGGAAGGGTTAAAAGCTTGTATTGGGAGAGGTACCTCCTGGGTTTGTGTGCAACCTTGGACCAATTATTAGGCTTATCTCTACCTCGATTTTCTCATCTGTACAATGGGGATAGTAGTAATGGTACCTACTTTAAGGGTTGTGAGGATTAAAGTAGAAATATAAAGTGCTTAGAACAATACCAGGCTCCAAGCAAATCCTATTGGCTATATCACTAGACTATAATATTATTCCCATTTTACAGCTGAGGAAGTTGAGGTGGAGAAAGCAAAAGCAACTTTCCCAGGGTCCCACAGCTGGGATTTCCACCGCTGAATAAGCCAGAATTTAAACTCGTAACAATCTAATTTTAAAGCCTCCTCCTCAGGGCACTCTTTGTCCTTCCATTCTAGATGACAAACTCTGGTCTCTTTTTTGAAGGAAGAACATGAACTGCTATTCCAATGGAGCGGAGAGGATTTCTGGTTAAAGGCATCTGAATGGGAAAGCTTGTGTGATCGGAGAAAAATTAACTCTCCTTTGGAAAGTATCAGTTGGCTTGTGTGAGGGAGGGGCTTTCCTCGTGAGGTTGTCCTCAGAATTTGTTGCTAATTTGGCACCTACCAGAAGGTGTCAAAACCAAGAAACACCGAGGGCTGCAATGC